GCAGTCTAAGCAGATAAACTGGATGTTAAAACTCCATGAGTGAGGAGTGTGCTTGGCAGAGGCATCAAAAGAAGCCATGGTGGGGAGGGAGCAAGATATGGGGATGGCAGGAGGTGAGACTAGAAAAGTATGCAAGGGCATGGTCTTTCAGCATCTTCTGAGTCCTTCTGAGAAGTGTGTATGCTATCTTAGGAGCAATGAAGGTGAAAGATTGTAAACACACAATCAGTTACATCAGATGTGCATTTTTAAAAATACCTTTAGCTGCAATGTAACATAAATATAATATACTAATGGGTAGAGACAGGGTAACTAAAATTGGAAAGCAATTGCAATAATCCAGGAGAGTCTAGAAGTGCGGTAAGCTAGAGAGAAGTGAAATGATTTAGGGGATAATTTGGACATACAATTATGTGCAGATACAGAGATTTGTCAAGAGTGATTCCCATACTTATAGCATAAGTTCCTGATGAATGATAGAATCATTAACAGACATAATGAATACCAGAGAAAGAGTGTTTTAGGGCTAGGTGTGAGTCAGTTCAAGAAAGCAATCTGGGACTCAGTAAGTTTTAAGTACTTGTAAGGCAACTAATTCACTAGCCAAAGATCACCTGTTTTCTCAATAATTGGACCTATTGTTTAACTCTGAGATCTAGAGATTATTACAGACTGCAAATTCTGGTAGTAATTAGTGATATTTAAAAATTGCTAAAAATGATTATGCATTTAAATTAATTTAGTTGCCATCATATATCCAACTTTGTCTGTTCCACTGTAATTTATTAAATATGTGTTGATATATTTTTTCAACATTTACTTTCAGCACAATCCTTAGTTACACTCTTTTTAGATCTAATAGTTTACTAACAAGTTTAATCTGGGAGGCAATTAAAAATGCATCATTTGGAATTGTGCAATAAATGTGATAGAAATTAGAAAGATTAAAATAGCATTAAAATATGGCTTATTACACCCAAAAATATGATAGGCTGTTTTGTCTCATATGATTTTAGGGTAAGTATTAGTACTTTCCTACTTAACATCAAATAAAAACCTTAAGGGTATATGATTATAGCTCAGAATAGTTAATCTTTTTTATTCCTAGAGCAAGATATGTCTTCTATCTACACTGTGACACAAAGTGAGAATCATAAGCCTGTTCCCATGTTCAGCCTGACTCTGTGAATCCACATTTATCCTCTCCTGCACAGGCTCCTTAGCAGTTGGAGGGCAAAAATCAAGCCTTATGGATCTTCCTTAGCATGGTAACTTGCACAGAGTAAATAGTCTGTAAATAGATACCATACTGAATAGAATTAGTACTTCTTCTAACTTAATTTGAGTATTTTGTATGTTTTTCAGAACAGGCTTGAACAATCTAGACCAGCATTCTCTAAAGACTAAAGATCATTATTAGCTGCAAAATTTTTCTTCATCAATGAAGGGAACTACTTCCACTCTCATCTCATATTGTTATATTCCTACTAATGTATTTTCAAAACTCAAGTCTACCCAGAGTAGGGGCCAGTACTGGAAAGAAGGAGGTTCTATATGTACCCTCTTCTCTCAAAATTCTCTTCAAATTTTTCAAAATACACATTCCTTATTTTTTTGGAATAACAATAACTGGCTTACGAATATTGACATATAGGGACACTGTTAAATAAAGTCTAATTTTTCACTGTCACAGTCAATACTTAAAAGTAAAAAACAGTCAGTTACACATTTCACTCCATTCATTTTATTCTTGTGTGTGTGTGTGTGTGTGTGTGTGTGTGTGTACTGGAGATGGAACCCAGGGGCACTTAATCACTGAGCCACATCCCTAGCCCTCTTTATATTTTATTTTGAGACAGGGCCTCACTAAGTTGCTGAGGCTGGCTTTGAACTTGCAATCCTCCTGCCTCAGCCTCCTAAGCTGCTGGGATTGTAGGCATTCATTTTATTCTTCATGCCTGACTTGAAATAAGGAGGAAGTACCAATACATGAATGACAAACTCATAAATCCCAGAGCACTCACCACCTCTGCATCTATCAATTCCACATTCCCAGCAATTCACTCAACTTTCTGCTTTCTTCCTTGCTGGCCTTATTCAAAGAATAGGCACATTAATAAACATAAAAGTACGAAAAAAAAATGGAGCCAGTTCAATACAACCTGATAGGAAAAGAACACATTGCTACAAGGTCACTAGAAAATGACACTGTGCAGGAACCCCAAAAGTCAAAGAATAAGACAGAACAGAAGGGCAGAATAGATCCAAAAGATGATCAACCTTGCTAAAGACCTGGGAGAGTCAGGCTTCAAAGCCCAGCATCGCAGAGGATATGGATTTGGAGTTCTCAGATCATATGTTAATGTTATTAAAACCTTAGGAAAGTGGATAACAAATGAAAGAGAGAACTTTTAAGAGTGAAATACAAGGGTGGGGACAAGTCTGCAGAGAATGCTGAAATTAGACAGATGGTGCTGCCAGGGAGGGGACTCTAAGAACAGCACTGCCACCCCTCCACCACCTCATCCTTGGTTTTAAAATGGTAAAAGGGCCTTTTAGGTAGGCAAAGCATATGTCAAGCCAGGAAACCCTGAAAACATACAATGTTTAAAGGAATAATGAATAGCATTGCAAGTGGAATTTAAAGAAATGAAACTGAAAAGAGAATTTGCATCTAAGAGTCATTATGTGCCAAGAAAAGCAATTTGGATGCTATTTGCAATACAAAAAGCAGTGGAAATAAAAATTGAAAAGAAAATAACTATCACTTCTGGTTATAAACTGTATTGTATTAAATTATTGTCAAAATAAGAATGCAAACTTCTATGTTTGAGTAATTATTCTTACTACTAATAAAAACAAGACAAGGAAAAACCACTACTAATCAAGGATATACTGTGGCTGTTTTACAAACTGTAGTGATTGTTACACCTGTATTTTTTATAGTAGGAGCTTTTTGTGGTGAACAGTTCCTTCTGCTAATCTCAGGGGTGCACACAGGTGCCATGATAGCTGCAGTTTTTCCAGGGATAAGGCTCACAACTTTGGTCTTTCTGCTATGAATGTTTAATAGAAGAGACTAGAGTAAGACCTCCTCTTGAGACCATCAAGGTAATGGTGAATCCCCATCAAAAAGCATGTTATGTTTTCAATCAGTTAACCGGAATCCATTTCCAAACTAATGGGAGAAGGAAGTGGCCACTTTCATGGAAGCGTCTCAGACACTTCAGCAGGGAGTACCTTGGTAAGTCCAGGAGACACTGGAAGGAAGGAAATGACAATGGCAAGAAGGAAAAGACCTGGACAGTAACACAACAGAATCTGCATTAAATGCTTCCAGAAAATATGGAAAGCAATGGAAGAGTTAGAAAACCAAATGGAAAGAGGGACCTGTATGTGATGCTACCAGGAAGCAGAAATGAAGCCAAGACTAACACAGTGATTCACCCTGGAAAGGAGCTCTTTGGATGAGCCTCGTCTTCTGAAATCACTCATCGTGTGTGAGGTTCCCAAAGTGGAGAGGATAGTGTTCAATAACTCCCTCTGTATCACAATGCCATTGCCCCCTGCACTAAAAGAACCCCTAAATTCCTGCTCCCATGCTTCGTGTTGCCATGAGCACTGACTATACTTTGCATCTGGAATGTTATACCAAGGCCCATATGTTAAAGTCTTTGTCCCCAGCTTGGCACTTTTGGGAAGTGGTAAGACCTTTGAGAGATGGGGCTTAGTAGGAAGAAGTTAGTCCATTTGGGATGTGCCCTTGAAAAGGGATATTGCAACCTCAGGGCTCTCCTTTCTCTCTTTGCTTCCCAGCCACCATGAGGTAAATAGCCTTGTGCCACCACACACTCCTTGACATTATGCAGTGTGCTGCAACAGTCCCAAAGCAATGGGGGCCAAGTGACCATGGACTAAATCTCTGAATCTGTGAGCCAGAAAAATATTTCTTCTTCTCAGTTTGATTATTTCAGGTCTTTTGTCACAGTAATGGAAAGCTGACTAATACCAGCACCCTCCGCAGTGCCGATCTCACTATCCATGAATATTCCTTCACTTTTTTATGTAATTTTATAACTTCTTGTTAGACAAAGCAAATAAAGAATTTTAGAATCATCTCTCACACCCTGCACTAGGCATAGTTCTCTCAAGAAGTCAGTGTCCAATAAATTTTTATATGATAAGGGGATAAAGAAACAACTACATGTATAGTATAGCAATGATGAGAATCAAATTTGGAAGAAAAGATGTGAATCTGTTCTTAAATGTAGATCCAATATGTAATAGTTTGGGCATGGGGTGTGGAAGGCCAACCTGACAGAAAAACAAGTCACTGGCTTAGTCCCCAGCTTTCTAGACAATATTTTGTTAATTTTTTTCCTTTTGTGTTAATTTAAGAAATATCAAAATTGCAACAATATGATTAACTCACACTTCTATTTCACTGAATGCTTGTAGTCCGTGCTTTCCTTGGCTACATATTTCACTACTTTTATCATCAGCTGAGAAAAGAGGGAAAATGTAATACCCAAATGACATTTCCAAGCTAATTAAATTAAGTTACACGCACTGTACAAAACAAGGTTCCACTGGGAAGCAAACAAAAAAGTGGAAGGAAAACAGAGTCATCCTAGAGTATGGGGAAAACAGGACAATTGCACCATGTGTCCCATACTAAGGGCCATCTCAGCATCAGAAACAGCACCATCAGTCACAGTAAATTACTGTTGTTGATTTGAACATCATTACTTTTTTAAAGTGCTGACTCTGAAGCAATTATCTGGCTAACCTCTGAAAATCTAAAGGTAAATAAAGCTCCATTCAAGTCCTCCTTTGGAAGCCAGGCTCCTTATGGAAGCTTTTTGGTTTTTTTTTTTTTTTTTTTTTTTAAATTCTACTCCAACAGCAGTGTAAGGCATGAAGAATTGCTTCCAGTTTCAGTGTAGCTTTTACAATATGCCACTCTGATGCTGATTTCAAGCAGGGATAAGAATACTTACTGTATGCACATCCATACACTTCAATCCGCATGCCAATCCTGCCCTTGGAGTTCCAGGCTAAAGGCAGGAAACGCAAGAACCTGGCTTCCAAGGGAGGCTGAAGTCTGTAATGCACCACGCTGTCTGAGTTTGTGTTTCCTGGAAAGCCCTGGGAGAAAACAGAAAAAAGGGATAAAATATCTGTGAGATGCTATCTCCTCATCAATGATCAATGCCTTGCTCACTTTGTTAATATGCAAAATGTGCTAGTGTTTAAGCAGATATGATCCCCTCTTCCTAGTCCTTGTATTAATAACCATTGCCCAAGGTCCCTTATTTCCAGGATTGTTTAAATTTCACAAGCACCATTAAATCAGCTATACACATACTACTCTCAAAGGGTTGCTTTTAGAAAGTAGTTCACCCCCTAATCCCTTTTACTAATCTTCAAGTATAGCAACAGAAACATAGGAAGCCACATTACCTGGCCCTGGAATAATAAAAATCTAGGGCCAATGTGGATATAGAAAACAGGGTCTTAAAAGCCTCTGGATCGATCTGTTCTTATCATCCATGTTGTTTGAAGAACTGCATCATTAGAATATTGTTGAAATAAAGCATTTCTAAAACTCAATATTAAGTCGCACGCTTTTACTGCTTAGTTTTACCTCCTGCTGGAAATATTAAACCAAGAAAGAAGACAGGTTTCCCTTACTCAGCAGAATGTGAATAGCTCAGGTTTCTCAGTACTACTCCCTTCCCAATCAGAAGGAACATTTTATCAGATATTTGGAAATATAATGTTTGCTTGCAAAGAGGTTGTAAATAAAGAAAAAGCCAGAAAAAATATTTCCAGTGGCATCAAGACTGTATATTTAAAATAATGTATTTGTATTGAAAACAATACTAGATATGTTACAAATATAAGTGCATGTAGCTTAATATATGGCCATAAATACATTTTCTGAAAAATAATGAATTAAGTCCCCATATTTGAAAAGTTATGCAAAAGAATAAAATAAGTGTATTTAGCATTATGGAATAAAATGCCTTAATGAGTGTTTAATAGTGTGTGCACATCTTATGGGCAACTTGAAGAAACTGTTTGCTCAGAATTAAACAAAGCATTGAACTGTATATCCATACAATTTTGAGGGCATTTTAACAATTCAGACAGCAGCATTTTCTCATTAGCTTCCTCTATGTACTGAATATAGTAACATGTAAAATAGGATATTTTGACAAAATTTAAAAAACTTCCTCATTGAGAAATGCCATTGACCGTAAGCATCATGATTTTGCATTTAGGTTAGTATTAAAATAGCCTAAATGTATGAAATTTATTTTACTTATCACCGGATCAGTCTGGGGCGGGTTTGGAGAATGTCTATGATCATCGAGGCCCTTCTCAGGGCCCTGATCCATTATACTCATATCCCCAGCACCTCACAAGGTACTTATATCCTGATGGTGCCATGCATGGCATGAACTTGTCACCACTGATTACATCTGTCTTATTCCTCAGGTGATTTAAATTCTATCCATGACCAGTTCAGTTCAAGCAAATGGAAGGCATTCAATGGCTTTGCTGCAGGATAGATGTTCCTTCACTTACAATGGGGCTATACTCCCAATGAATCCACTGTACATTGAAAAAATGGCGACCCAAAAAGGCATTTAATACACCTAACCTAAAAAACAGTATATCAATTCAGAATACTGACGAGTGAGTATCTATTTGTTCCCCATGAGATGCACGAATGACTGAACTGCATCTCACTGCCATTGCCCAGCACTGTGAAGAGTACTGGATCAATATAATATTCTGGGGGGAAAATCAAAGTTCAAAATTCAAAGTACAGTTTCTACTGAATGCACACAGCTTTTGAACCATTATAAAGTTGAAAGTCTTAAGTGGAGCTGTTATAAAGTCAGGGAACATCTGAATCAGAAATTCTTCAAATTTAATCATATGTGCTGGACAGAAAGGAGGAAAAGAACCATGGTACGTGCTTCTTACCAACAATGACCATTCTTTTTTTTTTTTTCTTTTGGTACTGGGATTAAACCCAGGGGCCCTTAACCACTGAGCCACATTCCCAGTCCTTTCTTTTTTTGAATTTTGAGACAGAGTATCACTAAATTGCTGAGGCTGGGTTTGAATTTGTGATCGTCCTGCCTGAATCTCCTCCCAAGCTGCTTGGAAGACGGGCATATGCTATGGTGCCCAGTAACACTTACCATTTTAAAGAGTCCTTGCCTAACAGATACTTGTGCATTGACTCAAAGTCAGGGCTAACAGGGCCATTTCTAGTCTTAGTCATTCTCTCTGGTGCAGGTTCCTTGTCCTCCTTATAGACCAAGCTGAATCAAATCGACTATTTTATACAAATTCATCTCTAGGTGTGCCATTCTCAAGGACTCAAGGTCCTTTCTTATTTTGGGGCACTACAAAAGCCAGCCAGTGAATCACCATTTCTTAACTAAGTAATAAAGGGCCTTTGTCAATCTGAGTCTAAATCATTTCATGTATTCACATGTGTTCCCTCCTCAAGAGCAGGGCTGCCTGAGCTTCAGAATGTATGTTCTGTCCATTTCAGCACAGGTCCCTTATTCTGGTGTGTTGGCAGAAGAAACAGGGGCACTGAACCAGATCATCTCATCATAAAGCTCCACAGTACAAAAAATTAAAGAAAAGAAGATAAGAACAGGCCCATGCTCCCTGTGCAGAGCAACACAACATCACCGGCTTGAGTTGGCACGAAAGGCCACATGTCACGCTAGCTCCTGGCTGATTCTAGGAACTTGGATTTGGGGAGGTCTCTTGCCAAACCCAGAACTGATGAGAGTGATGGCCTGTTACCTAAACCACCAGAATAAACAATGTGAATTTTGTTGAGCAGCTGCTTTGTTTCTGGGAATGCTGAGTTTCATATTTGCTACACAGAGTTGCTACATGACTGGCCTTTTCATAAAAACCCTGGTATCCCAGGCTGATTGTCAACATTTCATGTGTGTCCTCAAAAGTCACTGCTAGAGGATCTGAGCATTTCCTGTGCAGCTCCATTGGGGAAGAATCTGGGGAGCTAGTGTCTGGTTTCCTCCAGATCTTGCACCTAGCTGATCTTGTACCCTACAGTTGTAAAACTCATGTGCTGCATTCTGTGAGTCTCTTGGTGAATCACTGAACCCAGAGGTGGTCTTGGAAACCCGTGACAAAGGACAAATCAAGTGCAACTTGCAGAGGCAAAGACTCAAAACTAAAGGAGCCTAGGACAAGCTCTATCTTGATGAGAACCATACTCAGCTAGCTCTGCATCACTGCCCTTCCTTCCACCTTTCTTACTCAAAGGATTCTTTCCCTGCACTTCCACACTTTGTGTAATAATCACAGGGCAGAGGAAGGTTCTTGGCATGCTTGTACCTCCAGAGAACTAGGGCAGCTCTATATCTTTCTCAACATGTTGCTCATTTGGCTAGTTCATTGCTTCTGAGAATGACATCATTATTGTGCTTACAATAAAGTATTCAAATAAATAAATGCACTGACGTTTTTATTAACTGTAAGATTTTGGTAGACTAGTTTAGGCGAAGTATGGTAGGACTAATCCTTAGATTTACACACACTACAGTGTGTTTATAGGGGAACATACTATCACCTAGTTTGGTACCTTTCATTAAAAAAAAAAAAATAAAGGAGGAGGAGAAGGAGAAGGAGGAGGAGGAGGAAGTTGTTGTTGTTGTTGTCATTTCTGAGTGGTGGTTCCAGTTCTGCATTCAAAGAAAGTTCATTGGAAAAACATTTAGTCTGGGGCTGGGATTGTAGTTCAGTGGTACAGTGCTTGCCTAGCATGTTTGAGGCACTGGGTTTGATTCTCAGCACCATATATAAATAAATACAATAAAGGTCCATCTACTACTAATATACATATATTAGTAGTAATATAATACATAAATATTAGTATATATATATACATTTATATATAGTATATATGTATATACACTATATATATACACACACAAATCAAAACACATAAATGTTTGTGTATATACACACAGAAACATTTAAAAATGTTAAAAAATTACTATTTTTTAAATTCTGTATCTTAAGTTAATCTGGTTGTTTTACTGATCAAATAAAGATGCCTTTTTTCTTGGCACTTTAAATTTGAGTTGTCACCTAGTTACTATAGGCTTAAACAGATAAACAAAGGATTGCAAAGGAAGAGCCTGGAGGTCATTTAGACAAATAAACCAGGCACAGAGAAACAAATAAAGCATAATCTCACTCATAGGTGAAATCTTAAAAAGTTGATCTCTTAGAAGTTAAGAATAGAATAATGATTACCTGAGCCAGGGAGAGTAGGGCTAGAGGTGAGGATGGTTGCTCATGAATACAAAGTCAAATTTAGATGAAAAAAAATAAACTCTGGTGTTCCATTGAAAGATAGGGTGACTATGGTGAAAATAATATAGATTTCAACATAGCCAGAAGAGGGGATTTTGAATCGTTTACCAGAAAGACATGATAAATGTTGGAAATAATGGATATGTCAATTACCTTGTTTTTTTTGTTTTGTATTTTTTGGTACTAGCAATTTGACCCAGGGGAGTTTAAACACTGAGCAAGGATTTTGAGACCAGGATTACAAAAAGAGCCTGAAGGTCCCTAAGTTGCTTAGGGCCTCAGTAAATTGCTAAAGCTGGCTTTGATTTGCTATTCTTCTGCCTCAGCCTCCCAAGCTGCTGGGATTGCAGGCCTGTGCTACCATGCCCAGCAATTACCTTGTTTTGATCTTCACAGTGTATATACATGAATGGAAATATCACATTCTGCCTCACAAATATGTACAATTATCGTGTGTCAATTAAAAATGAAATAAAACTTATCTTTAAAAAGCTATTATGCCAGTTCAAGAAATAAAGAGAAAATAAGAAAAGAGGGAGGGAGAGAAGAAGGAAGGAAGGAAAGAGAGAGGGAAGGAGGGAGGATGGGGAGAAGGAAGAAAAAAAGGAAGGATTATACAGATTAACAAAATCCATTTTATAACTCCTGGGCAAATCACAATGTATGAAGTCAGAGGAAAATGACCAGTCTGTCTCCAAATGTCCCTTCGCTTCTGCCCTATAGTATCTGAGGGGCTATCAAGATGTTAAAAACTTAATTTA